AGAAAATATCCTAACAATTGATCAATTTTTTATTAAATAAATTATAAAATAATATTTTTAATTTGAAATAAATGAAACTGAAGAAAATATACTTGAGGAGAATTGGACTGCCAAGAAGGTGAAGCAATAGAATGTATTCCAATTCTCAATATATTTCGTTGCTCAATACCTTGAGTGGAAACTACTGATCTGTTAAATAAAAAAAATATTAAATTATTTAAAAATTATTTAAAAATTATTTCGATTATTATTTAAACAATAATTAAAGAAAAAATAATCTTCTCCATAAAACAACCTGAAATTTTTATCCACAACTTTACGAATCATGGACAAAAGTTTATTAAATGGATTCTTATATTCATTGTCCCATGTACATGAATCAATTAATGTCATTGATGCTGAATCAATCGCGGATTGTGGAATTGATTTTGTTAAATCAAAAGACTGACAAAATGGTTTTTCTGTTCGATGAGATTTTTGTATATTTTGAAATGCTATAATAAAAAAAATAAAAATATAAAAATATTAAAAATAAAATAAATCAACAGAATTAAAGTAAAAAAATTAAACACACCCTTCTTAACATTACTATTAATTCCCGATTCAAATTTTTTCAGCTTTTTATATCTCCAAGCAATAGTCATCTTTTCTTCCCCCTCATTAGATCTTTCATTATCATCATAACCCACACCACCATCATTTAATTTATCCAATTCATCATCATTAGCTATCCATGATAAACCCTAACCCTAACCCATGAATTTAGCACGTGGGTGAAATTTCTATGAGTGAAAATATTTTGATACTGGGTAGATCGACCAATGGAATTCAGGATAAGGATCTTTTTTTTACGTTATTGGCTAAATTTAGTTTGCATCACGTGCGATAATTTTTGCAATTTCTGTAATTATCATAAAATTAGTTATGAGTACATTTACCAGTTCCTTCAAGAAAAAAGCGTCACAAAGTGTGAGCGGAACAATTAATTCATCAAAATTACCACCCGGAACACGTTTATCTTCATATAACGGACAACTAATTACTTCGACTGGAGTGCCTTCACTTGATGATATCCTTAATCAACAATAAAAGAATTTTTATTAAAATTTTTTGTAAATT